TTTACGTCTTTCGTATTTCAATTTCTCGACTACCCCTATTGTCACCATTTCCATCCCCGTTCTTCCCTAGACATGACGACTTCCTGAAGACATGACAACTTTCTTTCGAGGAATCTTAACATGGTCCATTTTATCTCTAGCGGTCACATAAGTGGCCCTTCTGGCGCTGGTTTAGAAAAAAGCGCTTTCTGGTGCATGCTTGCAGAAAGGACGAGAGGTTCGTTATAGGACGGACGTGGATGTATCGAGAGCTTCGTGCAAATAAGCCACAGAACCGAAATTCTCAGAGGGAGACCTGGATGAGAAATCCGATGGCTTTCCAGAGAGCCACATTCATTGAAAAACGTGCATTTCAGCGGGTGCTCTACTCAGAGAAAAATCTCATACATAAGTACAAGCTCTTTCTCATTTCTCAGGCTATTTATGGTCGGATGGTATCGTTGTTGCTTAGAAAGGAAGTACCAACTTAGCAACACCCGTCCTTTCGTGAAGTCTTTCCACGACCCTGACTAGGAGGGAATTTTGCCGCATTCTAAACGAATTGCTTACATTTATATCCGCTCCAGTTTTCGTTCCAGCTTTTTATTCCAGGCTATCGCAAGTTCCAGAACTTCCAAGGTTTTCTTAAAGCAACAATCCAGGAACGAATTCGCGGGTAAGGACCACCTATAATGACGTTGCAGGTGAGAAGTTGGTCAATGGAGAAAGAAAAAGTAGAAAAAAACGTCGGGCAGGGGCTTAGACAGGGACTCCCCCTGCCGTTTAGGGAGACGTGTGTTGGACGAGTTGTCCGAACCTGCCCGTAGTACATGCGCTCCAATTGCAACTGCTGGCAAATAGCCATGCATGCTTGCAAATACATAACTATTTGCCAGCAATCGAAATTGAAGCGCTTCAATTGCGCTTCTCATGGAATCGACCTGATACAGCGCGGCGGTCCCGCAACGACCGCTATTCGAGCAAGCGCTCTTCACAGCAGCAAGGAGGCGGGTCAACCGAGGCTCGGTTGACCCGCCCTTTTCGACGAACTTCGAGCCCTTCTCACGCATTTCAGAGGTGAGTTTTTACTTCAGTGACAGTTCCTTTCGACTTCACTTGGGCTGGGGCATGCTTCCACACCTCAGCTTTGGATTAGTTGAAACCCTCCCTGGACTGTTGCTTTAAGCAGTAAGTACATGTGAAGTTTGACTTGTTTTTGTTTGTTAACTGCTGTTTTTGGCCGCAGTTCGCCTTGCTAATGTTTCACAAAATGCTGGGTTGTGAACAAAACTTTCGCCCCAGAAGGGGTCGACCGACCCCTACCAAGCCGCTTGTCCGAAAACGAAATGATGCGGTGCGGGTTCGAATCCCGTCTGGGGGGAAAGTTTTGTTCAGCATTCTTGTGGAATATGGAAGTGTTCCGAAAAGAAATTGATGGAGGAAAACCGAGTCATTTTAAGCAAGCAAGGAGTAGCCAAGCCGAACCGGGGAAGAATGCGTTTCGCCTGTTTTACTTCCTATCTGCTTTTCTTCAGTTTGACCCATTGACTAATGAAATCTACTCTCCAGTACAGACCTTATGAGTGAAACGCGGCATAAGAAACTGCAGAGGAAAAGACAAGACATAACGGGCCGAAATACATATCCTCCTCCGATTGGCCCAACTCGAGGTAACATCTAGACGCACTTAGACATCAGCTGCTCATTTCCTTTTTCGCTGATAGGCGGCCCGTAGCCCTTTTCCGAAGTATGCTCTCTTTGCCTTAAATTTGAGAGTGGTAACTCCTGTTGGATTATTTTAGAGCGGAAGTTGTGTAGCGGCAAGGGCAAGCGCGCGGCGCATACTGCCGCGCACGGTCCGGATCGAATCCTTGTTGGTGGCTGTGCCAGAACCAGTCCGAGCCACTAGGTACCAGACTTGTTTGTGATGATACAAACCTTGAATTGTACATTGGTTGGTCCCCGTTCCATGTCATCGTATGGGCCTAACTATGTACAATCAACGTGCCTTTTCGATTCCTAACAGAATTCAAATACATGGCGCATCCTTTGAAGGGATTTATCAACATTGGTGCTTCATTTTTTTATCATTTTTTTCGTTTAGTTGGGTTTCGAATTGACTATTCGTTTTACGTTTTACATTTTTTATTATATTATTTCATTGTACAGTTCTAGTTTTGGATCTTTTTTTGTATTTTTTGACTGTCATGGCTCTATAGGTCTTTATAAAAGGGCTAATACCTGTTATGAGCGCTTTACACCACGTTCTGCTTTCAATCCCTTAGCTCTTTGTTCTAGCGATGGCAGTAGCTCTGCTCTGAGTGGCAAGTCTCTCTGAATGGACTAGTTTCCGTGGTCAATACTCACTCCATATGCGGCCATGAGTGACAATGCCATTCTCGAGCGCTCGTTTTCGCTGAGCGCTTGAAGATTTCCTGAGACTCGAGAGCAAAGGTGGCCTTGCTTGAGCGCTGCTTCACGTCCCCCCGTTCCATGCGTGAAGTAGCGCGCTGATTAGGCACACCGCCTCACATCACATATCGATTCGGGTTTCACTCGGAAAAAGTTCGATGATTAATTTCGTGCATAGAGAACGCACGTCGTCCGGCTGGCTCTTCTTTTGATTCACTCCAACAGCTTCTCAGAGGTTCCAAGTACAACGAGTTTTTAACAAGGTTCACCTTGAGGTATGGCTCTGCAGGAAGAGCGGCCTAATTGACTTGGCCAATAAGAATAAAATGCCATTAAGTAAATAGATAAATGCACAAATAACTAAACAAACAAATAAACAGAATATCTGGCGAAAAAGAAAGAAATGCAGGTGGGCGTTCATTCATTTCTCAGAGATGCGCCACGCATTTTGTGCTGATCCCAAATTGGATGTCTTGGATGGCTAGTTGACGCAGGTAATTATCTGAGATGCTGACTGAGGTTCGAAAAATAATTATCTCTTCAAAACAAGCCCAGTCCGCAACGAATTAGCTGACCATGACGAGACGGGAGGTTAGGTTAACTTGAACGGGGTTCGATCATCCGCGGTGAAGCGCCCCTTGTGAGGAGATCAACGGGAGGGTTCATATTTGCCTAATGGCAGGGGAAGTCCAACTCAAGTACCTGTCAGGATTTGAAGGTACCGAGGCATAGCAAAATGGCGAGAGCAAACTCGTCCAATCGTAACTACTTCACTGATGCTCAGCAAAGTAAGCAATGGCGGGTCTTAGAGCAGGAGATCTTACATTATTTAATTTATTTATTTATTTATTAAAACCCCTGCACTTTTTGGTGCGCCCACAAGCCATACATGGATGACTTCAGCTTCCCACTCTCACGCAATACCACATCCCTACGGACGGCGCTGACCCTGGTTCGGAACCTAGGATGTTGTTGTGGCAACTTTCAGGCGGCTCAGGGCGCACGGCAAATAGTCTTTGTCGACGACAGCAACGATGGTAACTGTCGCACAGCAATTGGTGCTGTATCGATCGTCGGAGTATTCGACATTAGAATGGCCAGTTTAAGACATCAGACAGTTTGCGATCGTTCTGTCCGTCCGACGGCGAACTAAGAGATAGACCCCTTCACATGGGCCCTAATGGCTATCCTCCCGAAAGGAAATCAAGGGACAAAAATTTCGGTGCTATACAAGTAGGGTGGGCACGCCGCATTTTTTGAACAGAAATGTATGTCAGTGGGACTGCTGCTCGCTACTATACTGTCACGAGAATTGGGGAGTTCGTGAGCCAGGGGGAGTGTAGCCAATCTAGGGGGGGGGGGTGAGGGCAGTCACTTGACATGCGTGAAAAGCTGGGTGTGCCCACCCCACTTGATAGGGGACGAAAATTCCTTTAAATTTTCTCTGTCTTCCCAACTGGGATTGCCCTGATAAAGGGCCTACATTTAATGTATGTATGTAGGTAAAGTAAACATGCACTGAAAATGAAGAAACTATATCGTTCAAAACAAATAAATTTAAAGGAAACTTTGGATCACCTAGCTTCGGGGAAGGATAGCATACGTACTCCGTATATCATACCTTATAGGAAGTCATGAATGGTTTAAATGAGGAATAACCCAACAGAGCTTATTAAGATACCTCTAGTTGTTTTGAGCTTAACACTTCCCAAAACCATTTTCTCATTGGAGCGCGTTATTTTTGCATGCCTTCTGTCCCATTGATTTACCGTGGTGAGCCTTTTACGAGAGCAAACGTGAAGCACGACAAATTTTTGCCAGCGAGTCCATTCGGCGGCAGTGATTTATATTATATCGAAATGTCCACATTTACAAGACGGTTTCCCTCATCCTGGACCTCGCTCGTATGCCGCGCGCGACGACGCACGCGATTCGCGGCGCGTCCGCGTTTCTTTTCTCCGAAAAAGGGACTTGCGGTGAGCTGTGCAATTCTCTCTTGAAGCGTTCCTTTTGATACTTCTTTCGGAAGGAAATATGCTGTTGATCTTTTGATTGACTCTACATGCTATACTTGTTTTGGTAAGAGTAATATTCACACACTAAATTGTCCTATATATTCTTATCCCATTTTCCCATTGAGCTGCCCAAATTTCCAAGTTTTTTTTTTTGTGAATTTGTCTTAGATTTATGCTATTGGATCAGGCATTATCGTCAGTCACGGGGATATCCGCCAGGGTTAAGCCCAAGAGAGGGCACAAACTTCAGGGAGAATGGGGATTGCTCCGCATCCTGAATTGTTTCTTATCCTGCTTAAGGCTCAGCGCCGTTTCAACAAAATGTGATGTTTCACGCGATCCCAAATTCACTGTCACAACAATGCCCTCGTATCTTGCGATAGCGCCTTAAATCATTGCAAAGATTCAACCTGTTGCCATATTTCGTGATTTGCGAGCTCATAGAAATGTTTTCTATTGAGGTCGTCTATTTTGTTCTTGTGTACGAGGTCATTGTTTCGTCGCTTTTATGTCAATTTTAACATTCTATTATTGATTCAGCATTTTAGGATATCATACTCATCCGTCTAATGCCCATCAGCACATACGAATGAAATGTCAACGGCGGTGATAAATTTTAAGACTGTTAGTTCAAGAACTATTCGTGGTTTCACTATTTCTTTTTTGTACGATGTACGAAGTACTGCAATGATTGCTAGGGTTTCAGGCTGCTCCTGGAGCAAGCGAAGATCGTGGGGAAATGCAGCAACCGGCCGAGAAACAGAAACTTGGCCATCGCCGTATCGATGAGCAGGGAGAGGTCAGTAGTCACAAAATTTTTTTCGACCATTCGCTCATTCTGGAAATGATGAGATGGTGTCTCGATCGGCGATCGAGATCGATTACGTGAAAAATTCGAAATATTTGGGATTTTCAAGATTACGTTTGTGGTTCTTGCCAAGTCGCTGATTTAGGGAGTAGCTATGTCAAGTTGAGTAAATCAAACGTTGAGAGTAGGTCACTAAAAGCTTGACTAAATTGCACTTTTTCAAAGCCGCATTTTGACTTGATTTATCCTCATAACCCTCCGGAATCCATTTCCACACTCGGGCTGGTCGCATTGGCGAGCACAAAAAAATGACTTGAAAGTCAGCTTGTAAGTTTCCCACGCCTATGAAGAAGAGGACGCAAAAAATTTGGTTTCCGAGCATCCTTTAGTTGGTTAGAATCTCAGAGATTTTGTGTAATGTAGGGTGATTGCAGGTCAGTTACAAGAAGGTGCCCACGAATGCGCTTATGAGCGCTATTCAGTTGGGCATCGCCAACTCCATCGGCAGCCTTGCATCTCGGCCTGATCGAGATTTGTTACTGCAAGATTTTCAAAAGATCGAAAATGTAGCTTTTCCCGCGTAAGTGAAAGATTTCGTGTGCTTCAAGTTTTTTATACATTCTAGACTATTTTGATTATGGGCTTTATTTTCCATGTTTGATTTGCCTTGTTTAAGTGCTGGCTCGGCTACTACACCATCGCACTCGTTTGGTGATTTTCGCTTCAAGACCTATGCACCGATTGCGTTTCGCTACTTCAGGGAACTGTTCAATATTAAACCGGCAGATTTCTTGGTAAGTTGATTTCTTTTAAAGCGCACCATATTACGGTCAAGGTGTTTCCTGATTGGTTTCTCGCACATCACTACCCCTCATAAAGGCCTAAAATTAGCTAGCAACTTTTTTGTTCATGTCCTAAATTCCTTAAATTCCTGATTTGTCTCTTGGTAAACACCACCAGATATAGAAAAATCAATACTTGAAGTGACTTGCTTGAGTGAGAAAAGAATTGCATGAGAAACCATCCCTGTGCACCAGAAATGTGACCCGGCTCTATGTCACTCTGGTTGGAAAGCCAGACACTTGAGAGTACTCTTGTCCAACTCGCCTGGGGTAGGATAGCAAACGGTCTGTGTGTGTGTGTGTGTGTGTGTTTCTGGAATCGCTGAAAGTGCTTGCATTTTATTTCTTTAATTAACAGGCGCATCAAAGAAAGATGTCTTTTGCTCGCGGTACTTGGTAATCAAAAAAGCAAGCGTTAGTCTCTTCAGAAATTCACAAGTAAAAGCTGCGAAAAGTTGTGGTAGGTAAGAAAAGTTCCGGTATTCATCAGACCAATTAAGACATGAGGGGCGTTTTTGTGTTTTTTTTTTTGGGGGGGGGGGAAGTGAGCGAAACAGCTCGGTAGGTCGATCAAGCGCGCGATGCCGGCATCAGTCGTGCAATCTACCTATAGGCAGCACATAGGTTTTCTCTTATCTTTCAAATCCACATATTCCAAGAGCGGGGGTCTACGTGTACGGAAGCATTGAGGGAAACTGGTCCGAAATGCTGGTGCACTGGATCAATTTCTATGTTTCCACAAAGTATGAATCAATTTATTATCACACAAACAGTACAGCAAAAAAAAAAAAAAAAGAGCTGAATTCCTGCAAAAATTATTGCCCGGGTATTATATGGTGAGTTTTTTGTTGTTAGAGTTTTGATATTGTATATTTTCATATAACATTTTCACAGAATCTCCAACAGAATCCAAAGACATTGTTGCCAAAGTTTTTCGGGTTGTTTTGTTACCAGGTTGGTCTTTTTTCTTCTTATTCTGTATCTTCTCTTTTTCAAGTGTTATTTGAATGCACTATTCACTGTTCAGAGTTTGGGAAAGAATATTCGCTTATTAGTAATGAATAATTTGCTACCACAAAATGTAACTATGCACGAGAAATATGATCTCAAAGGATCAACCTACAAACGTTTAGCATCCAAATCTGAACGGGCAAAGGTAACTTGACGTCTTCTGAAGGTGTCACTTTTGCAAAGCTCACGATAATTTTATTTACTTTAGGCCTCTCCAACTTTGAAAGATCTTGATTTCATTGAAAATCACCCCAACGAAGGTCTTTCTATGGACCCTATTTCATATGATAGTCTTATACGAACGATTAGCCGAGACTGTTTGGTAAGCCGGCTTGTTGTGTTTCTTCATCCCAAAAGATATTTTCTTGATTGTTCCATTTTTGTATAAAATGTTTCAGGTCTTAGAAAGTTTTAAAATCATGGACTACTCTTTGCTAGTGGGTATTCACAATATGGAGTTGACATCAACTGGGGATCGAAATCGTGCTCAACCAATCCGACAGGAAAGTGAGGATGAGCTGGAGCAAGCCGACGACTTGCCAAGCACCAGTAGGGGCGAGACTGAAACACGAAGAAGGGTATGTGCGAAGGCTTTTCTAGAATGAGTTTAGTATTTATCGAGCTTTTTGGTAGCGGTCATCCATACTCGTTACGCTATGATTGTATGTCCTTCACAAGAACAGCCTCTACCTAAAATAGTTTTTCGGTGAGATTGCTCAATCCATTTGCTGTCGGCTGTAATTGAATCTTTCCACCGTTTCCAGTTTCCACAGCAGGGTAGCTCATCTTGATATCTCTCTAGGCAGTCTGAAACACTCCACTAGAATCAGTAGTACAGAGTTTCAAAGCTCACTAACACTTCTTGCATTCGGGAAAAGTGATGGCATAGCGATGTCCCTCAATTCTGCCACCATTTTCTACAATTTACAGCTTTTTTGAAGAGCTGGTAACTCTTGAAGTTGCCTAAATGTTTTGTTGCAATTATCCTAGATATTTGACCGATACCCGAAATTTCATACATTTAGCCACTGCAATCGAAATTCTCTGTGTGGGACCAGTCTGAGTTTGAAGGCTCTGTTCCACCTGGTGGCGTTCCGGCACGAAATTCAAATGGTGACAGGTTAATTTTATTTCTTGGTGAGTCCAGAGTTCATTGTTCTATGTTTCCGTAGGCACACCTTTCATTAAAGGATAGATGCGTTGAGGAAATAAAATGCGCACGATTATTTTCATTCAGGTATTATTGACATTTTGCAAAACTATCGGTTGTTGAAGAAGATGGAGCATACATGGAAGGCGATATTGCATGACGGGGTTTGCATACATATCTTTGATTTCCTTGTTCAGGGCATTCGAGACTGAGTTATTTGGTCTGTCACTTGTTTTGCGACTTCTTTTCACTTGCTTAATATATATCTCTTTCATCAGAATAGAAATCGGTGCTAAGCTAGTATAGTTGGGGGGAGACCACGCGGCGGCGCGGCGCTCTGTTCGTCTGCTCCTCCAAGGCTTAGTCCGCCGATGGCGCGTATTTCGAAACTGCCACGTGGCGACGAAATAGTAACTGCCCCTTGGACTAAGCCTTAGAGGAGCAGACGAACAGAGCGCCGCGCCGCCGCGTGGTCCCCCCAACTAAGTTAGCACCTAGAAATCTTCGTCAATCATCTCATTTTTGATGTCCTATCTACCGCTTCCTCGATCAGGTCCCAATGTTCTTTACTTTGTAAAAAATGATTGTTTAGGATTCCATTTCCGTCCACAATCCCAACTTCTACGCTCAACGATTTTTGTCATTCATGACAGAGCACGTCTTCAAGAAGGGTCCAGGTATAGTGTTTGCACTACGCATGAGGTTATGACCAAATTTATGTTAGCTCTTCGCAATTCATTTTTCGTTTCCACCTTTGTTGGTCTTTTATGAGGTTACGTTTACCAGCTTGTGGAATCAGTCATAGAGGAAGAAAGCATTGATTCTTGCTTGCATTACATCCATGTCGGTGTATTATGGTTTTAATTTTGAACTGACAGATGATGGGTATTCTGTGTTTTTAACATTTTTTTTGAAACGTCTTTCCCAAATATCTCTGGAAAACTGGGATCGTTAATATTTGAAGTGGTTCTCAAGATGTGTCCGTTAACAAGCGATCACGGAGGGGCCGAATGGGAAATTTCCGTGACTGCTGCGCGGTTATCGCCTATCTCGGCAATAGGTAATTTGCATTTGAGGCCTTTTCGCGTTTAAGTCCTGAGTAGGGGAAGCTAGTATGACGCCTAAGCGTATTAAGCGGGCGAAAAATTGCTGTCATGGTATGTTTTAGCAAATGACACACATCTGACAGTTGACTTATCACACTTGAGTTTCATACACTCTAACTTAGATAATTTCATAGTTCGGCAGTTTGCAGTTGGTTTACGAAAAAAACGCGTTCGGTTCGCTGTCGGAGAGAACGAAGTATAATGGTGATGTGTGATTTTCATTAAGCTAGGCGTACTAGATTCACGGTACTTAAAGATAAAAAATTATCGCGTCAAAGCATATGTCACTCTAAGTTGCTACGCGAATGTTCCCTTCTAGTCCTATTAAGCTACGATTTGCGCCCCCCCCCCTATTACAGAGGTAGGGAAATCCTACCTTATATAAATACATAGTATTGACTATTTTATAGCAGTTACCTAGAAATAATAGCTTTTGTCTTGGGCGGCACCAGCATGAAAATATCTTGTTAGAGAAAGCTGTAATTTATTCTTTTCTATCACTCTTCTGTTTTTGGTGCCGTCCATTCCATTTCCTCGATGTTCCTCCCTAATTTTACTGTCTCTAGTCGCTTGTCTCATTCACTTTTCGGCACCGCTGAGTGATGCAAAATGTTGGTCAACCGAATCCTCGAGTGTCTCATAACTCAAGAAGAAGGCAGACCGCGTGTGGAAGTGTACCATGATGCCATATCTCTATCGCGAGCATACAGTTTTTGGCCCCTGGAACAAACTTCAAATAAGTTGAAGTTACATCTGGAAGATCCGTCAAAAAAGTGGAGATCAAAGCCGGGCCATGGAGAGCATTCAGATTCTCCAATGTTGCTTGCGATTAAACTAGGTCGAGTGATTCATCAAAAACAGCAGAAGCGAGTTCAGGCATAAAATGTGTTCGAAGGCCAAAGTCATTTTTTTGATGGGAGCGGTATCATGCTGATCCCGCTATGGCCATATGAGCTAATATTTCCGCAAAAATTATGGTTGTAACCGTTAACCCTTGTTGTATCGTAAAAACGATTAGAATTTCCCCATCTCCGTAACGCAGGCGGTAGTCATGAATAGTGATTAGACGAGAGGAAGCGAGAACACGCGAATAACCGCATAGTGCATGAAGTTGACGCAGTCCACTTTGAAAAATGCACCCTTTGGTGTCGGCGGCGCGACGGTAGCGATGCATCAAAGCCGGTTCATGATAGTTACATCCAAATCGGAGAGGAAAATCAGGTGGCACAAGCAATTGACGGGCAGTGTAGGCTGAGACTGCTCTAGAACTCTTTGAACTGCTGACGATTGATCGCTGCCGAAGTGGCAATGCCACTCACTGTAGAATATGATGACTTTTTTTTTATTAAGAATATTACAACTTAATCGGCGATTTCTCGTCAGCCGTTAGCCGAACATGAGCGCAGCTCTCGAAATGCGTCAAATGATTTCGACATTCCTGTTCTCGTGGAAGATCCGTGTTGCGAAGCTTATATGATAATTTCTAAGTATTCAGTGGGTTATTTTGTCCGAATCGAAGCTGTCATTCGCATACGAGATCGCGGCACGGATTGTAGAGCGAGTTCATCTGCTTCGGTGTCTGCAGTAGCGCTTATTATGCTTAGAAACTGAAGCAGTCCAAATAGATATCAATTCGTGGCAAGGTTGATCGAAATGCTCGAGATTTCCGAAGCTAAGCCTTTACTTGCCCATTGTCCCAGTTCGGCATAGTGAGCAGCTATTTTGCGCTTGCCTGCTTTTTGCTTTCTGTTTCGTTCTCCCCGTTGTCTTCGACGTTGTGGACAGTGGGTGTTAGGTGATGTGGTATTTGGCATGTAGTTTGTTACCAATTGTCATATTGGTCATTTTGAGTCCCCTTAGTTTCCTATAGCTATGTTGAGCTCGTTTCTCAGTTTTTGAATGAACCAAGTGATGCACGTTGGTGAACATGTTGTAGATAATCTTGTGAATAACTGGTCACAGGGGTCGCTTTATGTTTCTGAGATTAGGTGATTGTTGATCTTTTCCACAGATAGGTTCCAACAATGTTAGAAGTACGGCCCTAATTGGGCGGCCAAATTGTTATCTTGTCCACAGAAACTTTTCAAGAAAACCTTGGGCTGTTTGAGACCTCGATCAGCTGATTGTAAGATGGGGAATGGTAGGGTAACTTTTCTCCTTAGCATAGTTTATGGGCCACATTCTACTTCATAGTCCCAGTTGAATCAATTTGATGGTGTGCTCCACAAAGCGTGTTCATGAAAATTGTGCGCATGAAAACTACAAGTCGTCTTGTAGTTGATTTCATGAACACGATTTCTGTCAAATGTTGTCTTGTAGTAGATTTTTTCATCTCTTTAAGGAACCAAGCATCAAATTTTCAGCCTTGAAGCAATCACCTTCACGACGGCGCGCAAGAAAAAGTGTTGGAGATGAAGACTTGCCTATATCTACGCGTGACATCAATCCAGTGATCAGCGTCGGTATTCCACGGGCTGTGGTGCGAAGTGGTCATAGAAATAGTGGTATCGAGAAAAAGGAGAAGAAGGCTGGTTCTTTTTCGTTTTCGATGTTCACTTCACTATTTTTTCTTTAATGTACTTTTACATTTATATTTATAAACACTTATATTTTATATGCTATCTTAGTACGGTTTTGCTATCAAATTTTGAGTGGTAATTACAAGTTAGTGCGGGGCTAATATATGGATATCCTTAATCAGATTTGGAGCGTTTTTTTATATCCTTACTTACTGTAGCCCCTAAAAGTAGAGGAGGCTGGCACATTTCCTTTCGCCTTCTGTTTTACAG